TTACCATACAAATGCATTTGTAGCCCATCTGTGCAAAATCGGTGAAGTTGCAGTGTCAGAGGTGGAGAAATGCAGTACTCGGTGCTGCTGGATAGCAAAGCCAGTGAGACTGTAAGAGAAGTGAGCTACAGCTGTATGACAGAGCTTGCTTTTCCCTGAGCAGTAAGAAGAAATTGCTATAACATCACGGGGTTGGAGGGGTGGAAGGGAAGGAGGCTGTTATTAACCTGCTGTAGTATATAAATCATGTGTTTTCTTTTTATATTTTATATGGTTTTAAAATTATTTTCTATGTCTTAGTGCTCTTCTGCATACTTTGAAAGACACTTATAATAATTGCTTTTCCTTCCTGTGTCATTTCCTATTCTCTTTGAAAACACTGTAATAACCATGTGAAAAGTGACAATGACTGCAAGTCAGCTGTAGGTTTACTATGTGTAGTATGCATACCAGATTTGGACCCAAATTTTCTAGATGCCTAGAGAAATAAGATCTTGCAAGGAATAAATCAAGGCTGGCATATCTAAAATGTACAGAGACAATTGTGTTGTCCTAGGCAATTTTGAAATTGTGAGGCAAAGACAAAAAAATACACTTTTTGCTTCAGAAAAATCTCAGAGCATTTTTTTTTCCCTTTTAACAAAGTAATTTATCAAATAAGGCTTTAACTGTTTGTATAAAACATACTTTACTTGCAAGGTATTCAACAGCTTCCTGGAAGTTAAAATAATAGGATGTAAGATACACAGCCACAGGAGTGGAGTATCCAAAAATAGAGTGCTTTTTGGATCCATATGTGAGGCAGAATTTGCCTGGATTTACTACAGTGTAAATTGTAGTTGATGAAAGAATGAAAGCACTAATTAAGTGTCCTTGAAGGGAATGTGTACTGTTTCAGAGGGATATCTATGAATGTTCTTAATAGAGATCTCTGTAATAGCAGAAAACTGTAATACATGATTTATTCTGATCTCCCCCAAAACAGTCCTCCCATTTTGTTCATCTTCAGAAAGGACTTGAAACTAAATGTGCTTCAGATGGAACCCTTGCTTATTCTTTGCTCCTCTATCTGTTCTGCACTGTCTTGTGCAGAAGCACAAGAAGCTGTGCAGAAAACAGCTGTTGTGGTCTTTTTATTGTAATTACTGCAGGGACCATTTTGTGGCTACTTCAGAAGTATATGAGGCTGGACCCTTCCCACTGGAGGCGTACTTTTTGTGTAGCCTTAGACATCTGCCTGGATCTCTGGGCTGCAGCATCTGCACAACCTCCTTTTTAAAATAAGAACATTTGTTTTTAAGTAAACTTTCATGTTTCTTCAGTAAATTGGGTTTTTACTCAAGCCCTCATATTAATATCATCTGCTTCTCTTTTGTACATTAAACTTCATCATGGGATTTTCCTCTCTCACAACGAAAATGCTTTTGTGATTAAAGTACGTTGCTGGATTTCAGGAAATCAATAATTCAGTTTGTGGTTCAACCACAAATTTCCTGTGTGATTGGTTGCTATCTCTGCCTTGGTTCCCCACAGATGTAGTGCTGATCTTTTATAAATTTGCAGGTTACCAGGACCCATCTTGATCATTTCATTTGATACTCTGCATAACAGAATGAAAAAAAATAATTGCTTCCATAAAGTTAAAAGGTGTTTTTCTGCTGTAATATCTTGGAGAGTTTAACCAGCCTTAATTTCCCTGGGTTATAGTGAAATATTCTCACCTGTTAGACTCTTCAGTGGCAATGTGTTGGGTTTTCTTTTTTATTTATTTATTATTTTGAGTTTTACCTAAAAGTTGGCTCTTTTTCTCAAAAGTAAAAGACTTGATTAAGTAGAACTGTTAGACTAGCCAAGACATTTCTTAATAGTTTTCCTTAGCTAAATTAATGAGGTCTCTTAGTCAGTCAGCATAAGTGTTCAACATAGCTCATTCTTTCAGTTAAGGAGGCACTGTGGTTGGATTCACTATGTGTCCATGGATCATGTACTGTGCATCCAAAATAGGACCATATTTTCAGAATATTTTTATTGTAAGGGTTTATTCTTATTTGCTTGCAGAGATAGATGGGTTTCTCCAGTTTAATGCAGTGACATTTTCTTTTCTAGAAATAGTTTGGAAAATGCTGCTTTGAACTGGTCTTGAGGCAGTGCCTAAGGTTTTTCTGCATGCATGCGTGTCTTGAGTCAAAAACTGTTAATATGGTACAAACTTCTGCAAAAAGATTTTCAGGAAAGCTGGCCAGTAGAAGCAGGCTGCTAACCACAAACTGAATGCCCTTTCCATTATGAGTTCTTCAGGCCTCCTATATTCATTTGGGGTTTTTGTTGTGAACCCTTTTCACTGTTCAGTGTTTTCAGCCTTAGCTATATGTAAATAGTTTTGTCAGTATAAAAGCATGATGCTGCCTCTTTTTTTTGCTTATTATTTTTCCCCAGAATATATTTCCAAATAGTACACCTCTGTTTCAATAAGAATATTCCACTGAGAGCTTGTGTTCAACTGAAGTCAACACCTTCCCATGTCTCCTAATGGGAGGCTAATCTGAGCACTCCTTAGTCCTCTAAGTCATATCTTAGTTTAAAACACAGCAAAAATGGCACATACGGTAATCTTACTCACTTGGTTTAAGCAGGCTAAGGACTACTTTGCAGCTCTACCAACAAGAGGAATCAAAAGGAGAGTGTGTTATGACAAAACATAGTGACAAGCATTGAGCACTGATTCTTCTAGACTCTGCAACTAGCATGAGGGTTTTATTTGGTTTAGGGTTTGGTTTTTTGTTGTTTTTTTTTTTTTAAGTCATTTTTGTGATTTACTTTAATGCAATTAGCATCTACAACTAACTGAAGCTTCATTCAAGTATATTAAAACAGAAGTTGTTCAACTTAGTTTATTTCTAGGCAGTTCATGTTGTTTTTCATTATTGATCCCTTACTGCAATTATTTATTGTTTCACTATGATTTTGTCATCACAGAAGTTGTCAGAAGTTACGTTTTCTTTCAAATCACATAACTACTTATGAATCTACAGAACAATACAAGGTTGCCAACAGAGTGATCCCTTTGATGCTGAACTACAAAATCTACCGAATTTAACAATTTGCCATTTGTGGGCTATTGTGAGTTTCCTCATCTCCCCTTTGAAATTCTCGTTGATCAAAATCATAAGCAAGATGAAGCCAGATGTCTTACAGAAGTCCTCTGTGTCACCACAATTATTTTGTCAGCCCAAATAATGACCCCATTTAAAGAAGGTGTGGAGGCTGGGAACAGCCTATTTTCTCTAGAAGTGACTAGAGTGCTGCTATTTATGTATCTGTCTGTTATTTTCTGATATGTTAATGACTGCAGAGACCTCACTGGACATTTGTTTCTCAGTATTCCTGAATAGCTAGTTATAACTTTCATTCAGTTTCATTTTCTAAAATAGCACATCTTTTCCAACTGTCATATTTCTTTTTTTTGTTTTTGGAACAGTCAATACTAGGCTGGTAATGTTTTGATGTCTAGGGATGCTTCAAGGCATGTCTGCTTAGTTCTAATAAGTGCTTATTCTGTTAAAAAACAACTGTGTTAGTTCATCTTAAATTTCTTTCAAAATGTGGCCCATTTACACCTTAATTTAGACTTGAAAATAGGCACAGAATGGTATGGTATTCTGCTTATTCCACCCTACACTGATTTCTTTATACTTTGTCGCAGTATGTGGATGGCTTCTAAGAGCACACTAAGATACATTGTATATTTTTTTTCCTCTGCATTTAGGAACAGATTTACTCGTCTGTGCAGGATAAGCGTGGTTGCTGTAGGTGGCAAAATAAGGAAAAGAGTGCCCTGCATCACAATGGAAGATGATAAAGCTTATAATCATCCTAAATTTCTGCTAGCCTTAAGAAACAGAAATAGGAGAGGCTACAGAAGTTGTTTCTGTATTGTTGTTCCTTCTTCCTTCTCCTTCCCAACAGAATTAACTTGATCTGAACTACTCTGGTAGGTGTTGCTATCAGGATTCACTACAGAGTGTTTGGACTGACCTGTAGAAGTTCTCTCTTTTGCGCAGATAAACTTTAATCACATGGTAACAGGTTGACCTGTTGATTTTAGCCCTAATTGTGATGCTGTTTGATCTTTTTTTTCTGTCTCGGAACACTGGAACTTTTTAACAAAGGGGTAAAAGTTGAATTTTGTGTGAGAAGAAAATACGTAAAGCATATAAACATGTTTGGGATATTTAGGTACCCTTGCTGCTGCAGAAAAGAAAGGAATTCATAATGCAGAGTTTTAAGAGGAAAGGACTTGTAAAATCTTGAAACTATGAACTTAGACCAGACATTCAGGATTCATCTGAAAAATGTTAGCATGCATGTTTAAAGTTTTAGTCTGTGTTTCATTTTTAAATTTTCTAAATATCATTTTTTCTATACCTCTCTGCTCTTTCCCTCCATTCTTATTTCCCATCTCTTATTCTTTTCCATCATCTCATTTTCACCTCTTCTAGTTCCCCCCTGCCAAGTTTCCTCTCCCTGCTTCTCTGTGTCCCCTTTTGCATTAATCCAGGTCCTTGAATTCTGTAGAGAAACTGTATTTATTAGATAAGTTTAATAAAATATCATCCTTTTTCAAGTTAGTTAGATGAACTGAACTGCAGAATCTGCAGCTACATACAGTTGAGAGACCAGTAACTGATGACTCATACCTGGGAATATTTTTCACTATTGTGTTTTGGAAACCACAAAAAATTTTTTTTTAATAATTTTTCTCCTCTGTAGGCATATTGGCACTTTAGATATGAATATATATATGGTAATATATGTGATATAATGTATATACACAGTAGATCTTCATGTACACAGAGGCACATGTCTGTAATACGTGTATGCCTTTTAAGTAGCACTGGATGATACACTGCCAGGAAACTTTATATAGTTTCTGCATTTCTAGATAAGGCTCTAAAATTACCAGTGGTACTGGCTGTGCCTAAATTTAAAGATTATGGGAAATGGTTATAGCAAGCTGCCACATAAATAAATAATTGAAAGTGAAAGGAGGAAGGTGGATTCATGAGAAAGTATTCCTTTCCAAAATGCAGCACAGTGAGATGAAAACAAATTGAAGACTGAATCTTAGATGTTCACTCTGTACATTAAGTTTAATGGTGCTATCGACAGCTTCATATGACAGGAAATGATCTGGGCGTTTTGTTCACTTATTCTGGATGCCCTTAGTTTCAGAGAGCAACTGGTAACATGGATTGCACCTCGGAAGGGGACAGCTGAACTCTCCCTCTGGCTTTAGTAAGGAAAAAGCAGCGATGAAATCCGTGGACTATGTGCACGTCATCCAACAGAAGGATACCGCCTCCTCTCCTTCTGCCCCCCCTGGTGCTGTTTCAGGCACCACAGGACTTTTTTCTGTCACATTCCTGTGGCTCGCAATGCTCCTGTCCTCTTGTCTTGCAGCAGTGTCTCTTTACCATGTTATCACCCTGAAAACAGAACTAGAAGCTCTGCGCAGTGAGCTGATCTACAGGCTCCAGGCAAGGTCTCCGCTAGACCAGCCACCCATGTCCCCTGAGGAAAATAAAGCAGGTACCCCTGTTTCTTCCTTCCTGCAAGTGTCTGCAGCTGGCACCAGGCAGGTAAGCTGGAGGGGTGGTTTCTAGCTTGCAGAGGATGAATAAATGTGGGGCTGTTTCACCGACTGTTGCTTCTCCTTGTTAGGAGAACAGGCTTCCTGATAGCTTGCAAAAGGAAATCTGGAATGGAAGTAGAAACAGGGGCAGACGGTCTGTTGTCCACACGGAAGAAAAAGGTAAATAACATCTGGTGGAATGGGTTGGGATGCCACAGTTGGATACCATTTTGAGAAAAGCAGCAGTGTCTTCTCCTGTCAGTATCCATGCTCCCAGAGCCCATTCTGACTTTCAAAATTATTGCTGAATGAATGGATTTAACAATAGGCATATTCTTTTAATGGTTACCATATAGAATAACAGAATGTTTTGAGTTGGAACAGACCTTTAAAGGCCATCTAGTCCAACCCCTCTGCAATGATTTGGGACATACTGTTTAAGGTACTGGTATTCATGCTATCTGCATTTCAATTGTTCAGTTCTCTCTGATCAATAGTAGGGAGGGAAATCTATTATTAAAAATGCCAACTCGCTTTTCTGGGAAACATGCTCATCCCAAAAGAGAGAAGTAATGAGAAATTTAGGGAAGTAGGAGCTTTCAAAGAGAAAGATTGGCTTGTACCTGACAAAAGAGGCAGACTACAAGGAATTCAGAAGTTTAGCATTATTTCTACATTAAAACAACCTATTAATATAATTAGAAAAATGAATAAAAGAATGCCTATTCAGTAAGATTTTTTTCTCTCGTGGCCTTTATAAAAGTTTCTGCAGAGAACACCGAAGACTGTGCTCCATAAAAGACCTCTGATGTGTATTAATGGGATGTATTTGTTTCCTTTAGGGATAAAATGTCTACATTTCTTTATTTTTCCAAACACAATGATGCCTTATAGGATGAAATGCAGAATTTTATTGTATTATACTCTAACTGTGCTGAGTAACTAAAAATATTCCTGAGTTGCTAAAACAATTCACTCCTATTATGTATACTTTTTTATTGTTTTAACTGATGAAAACTAATATCTTAAGTTATTGAGAGATGATGTTGAAATGGAGTGATTTGTTGGCAAAGACTAAATGAAATTTGAGTTCTAGGGTATAATCACTCTACTTACTTCCAATATTCTCAAGAGAACATTCATTTAGGACATCACCTAAAACCCACACGTTTATATGGGATTTATTCTACTTCATTAGTAATCTTTTGTTCAGGATCTTGGCTAAGACAGATTTCGCAAACTGGACTGAGGACATGATTGCTTAAATTGTAGTTCTTGTAGCTTGCTTCCTTTCATGGGAACCACAGAGTTTCCCTGTTCTCCCCACCGTAGCAACTCCCAAATAAAAAAAAGTGATCTAAATTACAAGTATCATAAGAAACAAAGAGACATCTTTTTTAAAATGGATGTTATAGCATCAGTACTGTGCAAGTGATCCAGTTTCCTTCACAATAGCTTTCACCTTTATTCTTATTGCTATTTGAGGGTGTAGGTGGGTGAAGAGGGTTTGGGGCTCCTCAACTGCGCTTCTAAGTAGACTTAAGATTCTTCTCATCATGTAGCCACCTTTGATTATACCTATTTACCTTTATTCACATAAAATTATAATTAAGCTACTTATTTTTGTAAGCTTTTTTTTAAGATGGCTTTAAAATTGTTTGGAATGGATGACAGAAAGCACAGAATATGAACATCCATTTAAAAGGGAAAAGCTGCATAGTTTGATCTACTACAAAACTGTTTTCTAACATGAACCTTATATTTTTGTATATAAAAAAGAAAAAGTAAATTGCAAATCTTGCATTTATATCAAAGGTAATCTGTTAGGGTTACCTTTATGCCTGCTCTAATTACAACAAATTTAGCTTTGTCAGAGTTCAGTAAGATGTTAAATTTTCTCAGATCAGATTTCACTGATGACCATGAACCTATTAGTCAATGTTACATTTTGCCTTAGCAGAGCGAGTTAAATAAGAGAACATGGTGTTGTTCATGGTGCTGAATCCAGTCTATTGCTTGGTCATGTACACAGAACTACTGGCCCTGCATTTTGATCTTTTGACATCCATATCTGAGTACTGGAATCCCAGCAGCCTCAAAATTGTCCTGCAGATGTGCAGCGCTCATAAATTAAGGTGTTGAGTGAGATGCCTGTTCTTGTCCTATTTCTGTTTGCTTCAACGAGGTCTCAAAGTAGAGTCTGGTCCCATAATTAATTGTCGACCCATCATTTTACTTTTACACAGAACAATTCCTTAGAAAGATAATATTTGAAAACATTACTGATATACAATTTCTTCTCTTGTGCTTAAACAGAGAGCAGAAGTAAAATACAGGATTATTATTTTGTTTATAAATAAAGTTGTGATTCAATTATATTTTCTTTCTAGACTTTAATTATTAAATTCCAGGAATGGATACCCCACTATTTTTTTAGGCTCAGCACAGCCCTTCTTGAACATATGGAATTACCATTTTAATTTTTTTCTACTTTTTGATGTTGTGTGCATAAAAGCAGTCATAAATTAGCATTTTCATTAAAACGACAATTGAATGAAAGTGTATCTAACCCAATCTTGTTCTTTCATGTTTTTATAGGGTAGGCATTTGTGTGTATTCATGCATGAAACCATTAGCCATCCGTAGTTACACGTTTTGTGCCTTGAGAAAATTTCCAGCTCAAGTAAGTTAGAGAGAAGGGTTTCAAGCATCAATTCCAAATAAAGCTGCACAGTTAGCAGTCAGAACCAGAGTTCTTGATACAATGAGTAGGAGTTAATGGGTAATTTTGAAAGGTATATATTATTAATATGCAGGCAGATAGACCTTTTAACCAATTCTGGCAAATATCAGGACACATAAAAACAGATATAATTTTTCTTTTTTATTGTTTTTCTTTGTCAATTCTGCCTGTAGAGGAAAATCATTGCACAACAAAACCTCTCCTGAATTTTATACCCTATTCACAATTATTGATTGCCTTGCTTGTATGTTTCTCTCTAAGCTGCATGTGCAGCTTAGATACAGGTTCCATTGCCTAAGCCACTTCAGTGTACGAACATAAAGTTTCATTTACACACTCCCTCAGTGCCTCACTCTGGTCATTATCATGAGATTCCAATTCCTGTGACCTAGGGAGGTGAGAATAAGGTCTCCTGTAAGCTCAAATGCAGCTGATCAGATTGGAGCCCCCGTGGACTACATTTACTTTGGTGTATTGAGGTTGCCCATCTCAACAGTCTCATTGCGTAGATGCAAAGAGCTGAGAAGCAATTCTATGTAATTCCACAAAGCAGTGAGGCAGGTTAACCCGGCATGTGTCTTGGCTCTATTTTTTTTTTTTTACTACCAATTCCCAGATTCTACTCCAATATCAGTTGTAACCATGGGAAATAACTATTGCCTTGCAAGCATGGTGTATAAGTTGTGAGAATTTTGCCATTGTTCTTGATATAATTGCTGTACATTTGGTACATTTGTTGATTAGAAGTGTTTTGACTCTGTATGTTGTTGCTTTAGATATCTGTGACAGAGGGATAGCAAGAACTTATATAAGTAGTACTTGACTTTAGTGATCTTTGAAGTGAGGCGTAACCTTTCGTTACTAGTCTAAAAATATGCCACAGATAAAATTCCCTTACCAAATATTCACAATACTTCTTATTTTATTGTTTGAAGAGAGGAAATATAAAAGTTCTCTTAAAAAAAAAAAAAGAAAGGCCTACTTCTTGAAAATATATGTTATTCTTATTTGTTTCTGCTGACAACAGTCTAATTCAAAAGGAAGTAGACCCTTCTATGCAAAAGGGTGTAAAATTACTTGATGCAATGCCTGCAGTTTTACATGAAGAATTTCACTGAATGAATGACTGAATGAATCAGTGCTGTGTATAATGCAGAACACTGTGCAATCAAAAATACGTAAAATAGACTCTTAATTTTTAAAAACAATATTCTGCTTTGCACTGTATAATAGAAGTCTACATAAAGTATTCTTAATTCCTAGTAAACTATTTCCTTGTTTTTCTAACTGTAACATATTACTGGCAATTCTGTTAAAGTCAAAATAATGGTACCAATACTTCAAAGGTATTTGTTAGATCTGAGTCCTACCTGCAACCATGATTCAGCCATTTTAATGCAGGGACTGATTGAATCCATGATTAATGCTATATAAAAACTTGTCAGTTAAAAGGCAGCAAATTAAAGAGTTTTCCTGGTTTCTACTGGGATAGAGTTCATGAATACCAGTGTATAAAAATGCATAAGCAAAAACCAAAAGAAGATCTCTAGTGATGAGAAATGAAGAACTGCAAATGGTTCAAGAACATGCTTATCACTTCTGTAGTAAATTATCTAGTGTTTATGTGTGTTTTGAGAAGTCTACAGAGAATAGATCTAGACCAAAGAAGGAACCTAAATAAGCAGGTCTGGGTTTTAGTGGGGTTTTTTTTCAAGGTCAGGGTTTTTCCTGGGTTTTATTTCAGCAAAAATTGAAACAGATGTCTCAGGCCTCAGATATCAAAACTTTAAATTTTTTGCATGAGCTCACAAATAGTAAACTTGAAATTTTGTTTGGATGGCTCATTAAGTGAGATTGCAAAATATTAAAATGATTATGCAAGTTAAATAACAAGAAAATTTGCATGTAAGGACAAATTTGATTTTACCAATATAAGGTCTTAAATCATGCGGATATGCAGAAAGCTGTCCTGCTGCAAAAGCTAGTGCCTTTTTTTAAACTGTGGCTACATTGCTCAACCAGTAGAGAACACATTCTTTCATGTGCTGTCTGTGGTTTATAAAGGCATCTGGACCTACTAACTTTTTCAGAATTGGCTGTTCTGTTCATGGAATAAGACAGACTCTGAAATGTACTTCTGCCAACTGCAGCCTGCAGAGCAATTAAAATCAGGAAAAAAAAGAATGTTCATCGAAGCAAAGCTATTATACAAATTCCTAGAGGATGGGGCATGCTTTATAGTTCTAGATACACTTTTATACAGTTAGACCTCATGGTGACACTCAGTCTAGATATTTTTACACACTTACAAGATGTATTTTACAAATCCTGTATTCTGCTTTCTTTTTTAAATTATTCAAAAATCCTTTAGACTATGAAGATTCTGCTCAGGTTTGAGATACACAGGGCTGAACAACATTCAGATAGAGCTTTTGAGTTATTCTGCTCAGTACCGAAAGTAACTATTCAATGTGTATTTGTAATACATATATTCTTCATATTGCACTTAAGGTGAGATTAGGGTCCTAGCAATTTAAGAATTGCTAGCATTTCTTAAAAACATTAATTTTTTACTGAAAATCCCTGTTAATTTACCCAGAAAATATTCTATCCATATTCTTTCCTTAATAGTAGTGTTGTTTTCTCTGAATTAGTTTTAATTAATTGCTTGATTTTAAGCATGTATGTAGTTCCACTGAGGTCAAAGTGAAGTACTTGTATATACTGGAAATAGTTATGTGTCAGTCTTGGCTTCTGAACATATTTTTTAAGCATGTTGTTGTTCAGTATCTCAGGAACTTTTTTAGATTTTATTTATCCTTTGTAGCTTTAGGTAAAAAATGGCCACATGCTAGTTTTTGTTTCCTTATTGTCATGAATGACACTGTTACATCCATTTTTCTTCATGAAAAACAAGCTTACTATATTCTGTGGAGCCTTATTCCTATCTGCATATATTAAAGAAAAAAGAGACAGATATTTTTTTAGAGAATATGTCTAGATCTGATATCTGTAGAATAAAGCAGTTGGTATGTGTTTTAAAACGATGGAGATGATCTCAAACTGTACTGATCTTGCCCATTTTAATTACTGTGTAGAAGTTCTCAGCCATGCTGACTACTATTTCAGTGCTGCAAACAGCTGAAATATAAATTCAGAGTTGCAAACTGTGAATTAGGATAGTTTCAAAAATGCTCATCAAGTTTGCACAGCAGGCTTAACAAGAGTTGCTAAAGTAGCCGAACTTTTACTTCTTGTAGACAATACTCATTGGTATCCAGCTGGATAGCAGCTGGTTAGTGTGTATCATCACAAATCCTCTCTTGTTTAGTTAGTGGAAAATCCAGTGGCCACACTAATGAATTATTTCAAAAGCAGGAATTAGAATTTTCATTTAGCTTGCTGAAATACTAGGGAATGGGCAAATTTCATTCTCTAGGAAGTCATTTTGTTCCAAAGGAGAGTGTATTAATACTTTGTAAAGTGAATTGCCTAATGTGCTGTGTTGTGTGTGTGCAGAAAATCACATTATGATTTTATTTGGAAGCTTCTTTTCTGGAAAATTCTTTTGCTCCCAAGTTCAATAGAAAAATGAACTTTTTCAATTTTGTGTTGGCTTGGTTTTTCTATTCCTTACCAGAAAGCAGGTAATTCAGATGCCTTCAAATTCTTGGTTTGCAAAACTGTAGATTTTAGCACATCATTGGTTTGTTCATAGAACTCAAGGACACATTTCATTGTAGGAGACAGAAGCTTGAAGGATAACATTCCTGTTAACATAAGTAGGGCTTACAGGTTGTGTGATCATTGTGACATTGAAGCATTCCCAGGTGTGCCCTTGAATCTCTGTGTGCTGCCAGCTGGCACTGCTGAGTGCTGGTGAGCATCCAGCCCTCTTCTGCTGTTTTCAAGCAGGACCCCTTAAAAAAGAGACAGTTACAGCAAGAGGCTGCTTTCTACCCAAATTCTCACTACCTGCTGTGCAGCAAGAAGTTTGTCCTACTGGACACTTAGTAGACACAGTAGACGCAGGATCCCACTTATCCATGACATTTCCCATTGTAGCAAGTGTGGCCAAATCTGACCCAGAACCTTCTTATCTGAAAAGAGGTAAACAAAATGGAGATTCAGAAAACCATGGCAGAATTTTCTTCTCTCAACTCTTAGTAAATTCATTTGATCTCTTTCAAGCGTAGTAAATGTTGCTACTCCATTTTCCAAAATTCAAAGTAGTGCAAGAACCAGATGTTTTGGTTAAAATTTGCTCTAAGCAATTCTAACTCTTCTTTTTTCTTTTTATCCTATTCCCTGACATTTATGCTTAGCAGGTTTTTTACAAGATCTTTGTTTCACTTTGTTTCACTGTATTTTAACTTTCTGCAGTACTTTTCTCTGAAACTCCTAGTTTCTCTACAGTTTTGAGCAACATATTTTGACAGATACTAAGCTATTTGTTAAGTGTACCTTAATTTGCTAAGAGTCATATCTCTGTCTTCCCTCTCAGTCTTAGTATAGGTTGATTGAGTGTAGATATCTGAAAATATAATGAAAGTACATATATATGGATTTTGAGAATTTATTTTGAAAGTACCACGTAACCAGTATATATGACTAATATTTTACAGCAACTATAACTGGAAAGTAATTTTGCTAAATAATACAGTAAACATCATTAGAAAAGCTGCTACTTGTCATAGCTGGCAGGGTTGGGACTTTTTTTGAGCTTTTGATTAGAAAATTAACAAGACTAGTTGATCTGATGATTTTTAGCTCATTTGACTTACTGCTACATCTTTTAATTATATTAGGACTAGATATTAAAACAAGTAAGTGTAACTTGTGCTGCTGTCTGAGGCCTCCCACTTAGCTGCCCGATCCCTGAAAGTTACCTAGTATGCGTTGTGATAGGAATTCTGGTTTTACACACTTGAGTGAGATCTGTATTAAAACCAATAGATTTTGTTTTAAAATAAGTGGTGAGGCTGAGATATTTTTTTCACGTAGTTTCATAAGCTTAAGCTATTCTATTACTGATATATGTTTCTTTGATTTCTAAATGCTTTCACTTTCCAGTGCTGCAGGCCTGCTTGCAACTGATCGCTGACAGCAAAAGTGATATCCAACAGAAAGGTAAGAGTATGTTCCATAATTTGTAGCTAACTATTCCTTGGATTAACTGTTTCAACAAATTTTGTCTAACTTCAAAGCAGTAACTGAGTTTTGCCAGTTTATTTAAAAATAATTTTAAAAATCCCACCACCACCAAACAAACAAATCAAAAAACAAACAACAAAGAGGTCCCTGCATCTGGTAGGTCTCTGCATCTGGATAGCTCTTGCAAATAGCATCTTTTCAGTGGGGAGATCCAGCTAGTGAGACTGGAAGTCTTGACTAGAAATCAGCTTTGTTAATTTTTGGCAGGCGAAAATGAAGAGATAACTTTTCTTTTTGATTACCCAAAATTATTGTTTCTTTTAGATGATTCAAGCATTGTCCCTTGGCTTCTGAGCTTTAAACGGGGAACAGCTCTGGAAGAACAAGGAAATAAAATAGTGATCAAGGAAACAGGTTATTTTTTCATATATGGCCAGGTAAGAAAGCTTAATTCACTTCAGCATCTGACTTTTGCAAGGGTTTTTTAATGCCTCCATACAATAAGTTTGAAGTCTACCTCTTCTTTCTGCAGGTTTTATATACGGATACAACATTTGCTATGGGACACCTAATACAGAGGAAGAAGGCTCACGTGTTTGGTGATGATCTCAGCTTGGTGACATTGTTTCGTTGCATCCAAAATATGCCACAGTCTTATCCAAATAATTCTTGCTATACTGCTGGTAAATACCTACATTTTCCTTTTCTTTGTTTGCAAATAAGCTGTATCAAGTAGAATCTGTAGTGTTGGGTGATTGAAGAACAGGGACTGCGTTCATGGATCTGGTTAACTGCAAAATTACAGATTATTTTCAAAAAATACGGTTTTATATAAAGTATCAGCAATCAGAGGGTATGTATCTAACTTGGTGATCTGAACAGCTTCATTCTTTCCATGGACTCTGTAATGTGGCTGGATACTTTGATGCTTTTGGGTAGATGCCTGAAGCAGACAAAAGGAGTACATACTGTCCTTATGAAAGAACTCAGTTTCACTTAAGAGTTGAATTCCACATTTAGTTATCCCAATAAAATATTTAGGAGCTATGTTCTGCTTTAAAATGTCATATATAAATTTTAGCCATCTAATCTTTGCATACCTCACTGTAGGATTTCTACTCCTTATAATGGCTATTGCATTTTTAATCTTTGGTTAGATGAAAAATATAATTCCTATAAGGTGCTCTTTATGACTTCACAAATTAGAAACATCACAAGAAAGACTAATTAAAATATTTAATGCAAATCTAGCAGGCTCAAAGATCAATATACATGTATATTCCTGCAGTAGCATTTAAGGAATTAGTATCAAGGCCTATAAAACCTCATTTGTCAGCTCTTATCTGTCTTTCCACCTTAATGGTGAATTTGAGGGTCTCCAATTATTTTCCAGCAACATCTTTTTTTTCAATGCTTTATGAAAAAGTGGGTGACACTGAGTTGACTGTTGGCAAGTAATGGCATTAAACAAATGGTATGCAGCACAAAGCTAATTTTTTCCAAATAAAAATAAATTCCAAATAAATAAATACTTTGTCCTGGCAATTGATGCTCTTCGAACATTTCCTTTAATTTTCTGCCCCTTCACGTGTACATTCTGGCATCATAACCACTTTCAGTTTCATCTGTGCTCTTATTTTACCCTTGTATTACTTCTGCCCTTTCTTAACTAGGATCTCTACTCTATCCTGCCACTTCATGGTTCTTGCTTCCCAAATTCCTACTGTTCCTTTTTCACCTGGAAAAACAGTTCTCACTGCTATCTTTGTGCTGTTGAGCATGTCTTGCAGCAGATGTTAGATGTGTTCTCAGCTCAGTGGCTGCAGCTTGAAGGGGAGATGCTTTCAGTTATCATATCAGCTGATGTGCAGCTGGCAGTAAGCAGACTTTTGTGCTCTGCAGTTGCAATGGATCAGCTGATGTCTGGTAACTTCATTAGATTGGTAAAGCTCATGAAACCTCCTCCAGAAGTGTGGGAATGGAGTGGACCAGTAATACTCGGTGCTGACATTGCCTGACACAACACCATAACATGAGGAATCGGAGTACACCACTGATATAAATTTCTGGAACGTTTGCTTAAATTAACTGTGCTGAGTGCAGAGTGGAAATTAAGTCCAGCTTCACAGAGGATGTTAAGTGTCAGCTTTGGATAAGGCTGTAAACTCTTAGTTTGTGCCTAAAGGTAAAAAAACACTCATCACATATCACAAACCGTGCTTACATTTGTGAGATAACACATAATGACTTTTTGAATACTATTTATGAAAATAATGTATTTGAAATATTAACTTAAAAATATTCCAAATCCTTTTCCAGGCATTGCAAAATTAGAAGAAGGAGATGAACTTCAACTTACAATACCACGGAGAAGGGCCAAAATATCCTTGGATGGAGATGGTACTTTTTTTGGTGCAGTAAGACTCCTCTGAAGCCCTTAATTTCTGTTATTATGCTTAATAGAAATTTATTCTTTTCCTATGCCTTTGTCATAAAAAATACTGAGTTGTAATAAAGCTGCCAATTCCATCTCTCCCCAGCCAGCACCAACTTCTGAGAACTTTTCTTCACTTTTATAAGCAAACCCAAAACAGGAAACACACCAGACAAACTTGTGATATAACCACCATGTGATTACCAGAAAGCCAATTTATTTCAGACAATGGGCAACTCTAGATAACAACTGTAAAGCAGTGAGTTTTTGGCTTTGAAACAATGTATTGTCCATAAGAAAAAAAAAAAAAGGATGGAGTTGACATAAATAACGGCATGACCAGGACCATAGACTATCAAATTATTACCCATAATTGAAAAGGAAAACTAAAATACATGTTAGATTTTCATTATTTCATCAATAAAATATTTGAAGTATGAAGGATGGCAAAGAAACATCATACAGTAGATTCCTTATCACAAAATGGAGATGTTAGATGGGTTCTGGGTTTTGTTTTTCTTTTTTTCTTTGACACAAATATTTCAGGGAAAGAAAAAATCTAAATGTATGGGATAATGTAAACAAATATACAGAATAGTAGCCACTGTCTTGCTTCTTCCCTGTGAACAAGAGATTTACTAAAATCTATTAGTATTTACTAAAATCTATTAGTATTTACTAATTAGAATTAATTTTAGTGGAAAAAGGACATGTAAGATGCTTCAACAGCTCAGTCTTCAAAGCATTGCTACTCATCAAGGAATATGTGTACAATTCTATGTAAACAAGGCAGGAACAGAAAGAAATGCAGTGAAATTAGACACATTACAGTAGGTGGAATTGGATTTCTGGCTTCATCATTTCTGCAGTCATATATAGATGTGTGTATATACATTATATAGATGTATTTGTATATATATGAACGTATGTACACACACGTATGTCTTGGACATTTGAACACAGATAAAAGATGAAATTTAAATAGATAGAAGATAAAATTTTATCTTCTTTTGAATAGTTCATCCAATGGAAATATTGCTTCATACATATTTCTTGTATTTCTCTTGCACCTTGCTATGATCCCTTCTATGCAACTTACTAAAAATAAAGTCCAATAGACCTGGAACCAGCCATGCAGTTAAGAAAATACATTTGTATCTGAGAAATCTGGGGTCAATCCTAGGTTAACTATAGGCTTTTTCTGCAGTTTTGAATATATTGCTCAATGCTGTTTCACCAAATAATCAGACCTGTAGAAAAACTGAACAAGACATCCTTTTTCCTTTTCTTTTGTCTCCTTTGTTCAATAGATAGGATTTATGTCTTTTTTTACCCCAAATATTGCATGGTCAAGATAATACAGTGGTAATAGTGTGGTCAAGACGTCTAGTAGCTATTATAATACAAACATTGAGTACTTGTTCCACTGATCTTTAAAGAATATTAAAGTGCTGTTGGAATAGATAAAATAATAACACTTCCCCTGTACTGTACTTCACTTGAAAATTTTTTTAGGATTTGAGAATTGTGTTATGTAAGTTTATTTAGTAAAGAAAAGATGCTTTGTATATTGCAGTCTCTTTGTCTGTTTTTATAAATCATGATTTGATTGAGTTCTCAGGGTGATAGACAATAAATAAAAGAGTTTTGGAGCTAAGAATTATAGAGCATGGTAAACTAATGCAACAATTAATTCAACTTTCTGGGCTTCAGGAAGACATTCGTGTATTGCATATGTGTATTGGATTACTACACTGGGATTTTTGAGGCTTAACTACAGTTTCAAAATGTCTGAACTCCTCCTTTTTCAAATTTATTTATTTATGTGTTGTGGATCTGAAGCTTCTGCTTATTATTGTTGTTGTCATTGTTACTATTATTATCAAATTTTGATGAGCTAAGTTTGCCAAAAAGTCATTTTAAATCCTCTACAGAAACCCTCAGTTTACTCAAGGTTGTGTGACTCTGAATGTGGGTAGAACAACTATTAGCATGCAGCGAGTTGACTGCTGTTACTGACATATGTTAATGATGCCCAGAATCCGTAATCAGAAGTTCGTTGATTTTAGCGTTGTCTGATTTATAGAAAAAAACCCTGTTGTTAGTGTTGCTTTCACAGAGACTGGTGGCTAAACTTGCAGATTTAAATTTCAGTGCATAAGCTTCCCCAGTGGTTTCAGTGGGCTTGTGTGTGCTAACTTTAACTTAATCCCTGGCCGTATTTCTTCCTTCTGCTGCTGACAAACATGCACACTGCAGAATTTTGGGAAGGTTTTGGGGTATCATTTGGCTTGGAGTAAAACTTTTCTAAGAAAATATTTCAAAGGTGTTCCCTTCCTTAGCAGGATGAAACTGAACCTCAAGTTACTCCACAAAAAATGGGAACCGTGTTTTTGTGAACCAGGAGAACTACCACATGTGTGCAGAGAGTGCAAGCCAACAGACTGGTCACATATTTCTACTGACATGTCTGGCAATTTTGTTGCTGTCAACAAAATTGTAGCTTTGAGCTGCCTTCATGAGAAGACTTCTCAAAATTAATCTGCTTCTGTCAAAGTTGAGTTTTAACAGATCAGCATTTTCTGATCAAAGCAGGAAGAAAAGATGAATATCTCATTCCTGATTGTTCTGCTAACAAACTGGTGATACAGGAGGTAGCAAAGTGCATCCAGACCACCATCACACTTCTGTTTCAGTTGCTGGGAGTTAACAAAGTTTTCTGCATAGGGTAGATGTTTTTTGAATAAGCGTGATGGGTGATAAGTAGTATCTAAGTGAGTCATATGATATTTTGCGTTCTTATCAAGGATATCTAGTATTTAAAACAGGTTTCTGCAAGAAAGACAGTATTCTGAGTGAATACTCTGGTTCTTCTTCATGTGGTCCTAAGCAGCAGCATGGCAAACATAAGGGACTTTTTTTTCCAGTACATTTTTACAGAACGTGTGAGCTTGTATCATTCTTTCCTTTCTAATAATGGGCAGTTGGCAGATATATAGCTGCTTTGAATATAATGTATTTAATGTATTTTTTATCTTAAAAACTAAAATATCTCTGTTACATAATGGGCAGTCATACACCTTGCCAACATACAGAGTATATTCATTACATAGCTCTGCTGCATCTGACTGTTTCTCAGATTGCTCAGCATTTGCCACTGTAAGACTTTAACTTCAGTTGTCCCATAGTTTTGCCAAGCTTATACCACTGGAGTTGATATTTTCTGTATCTCTGGCTTATGACTTAGATTGAATTGTCTTGCGTAACTTCAGCCTTCAATGTTTTACTCTTCTAAAGATGAAGTTGTGAAAAAATACATTGTTTGGATTTTGTTTTAACAATTTACCTACTTTTTCTTTGGAAAGGTCTAGAGAATCTATGCTTTGAAAGAAGAAATGTGTGTAATGTGGGTTTTGCTTTGTTTTAAGCAGGGGTTTTTTTCTTTGTTCCTCTCTTTCTTCTGCACTCATACTTTGACAAGGTGTATGCTTTTGAAGAATATTTTATTCTTTTTCAAGTTAAGCATATTCTATCCCTGTAGAACTTTCAAAGGGGAGAGGAAAATGTTCCCAGAAGTTTTTTGTCTTGGCTGGTCATGGATTACCACCACCGGTAAGATCTAAGGTTGTTTTTCAAGGTCAGTCCAAGCAGCGTGAGAAGAAAGCTGATGAAAACAAAGGGAAGAGAAAAGCTAAATGTTTGATGTAGAAAGGATCTCATGGAGTTTGCACATTACATAGAGCTTAAGGGGGATGGGGAAAACAAACCAGATTTTGAGCTGGACTGCAGAAACTGGAGAGATCCTAACTAGGATTTAATTGCTTGTGAGGTGGGGAGAAATGTGACAGCATGAAAAAGACTGCCTAACCTCACCTAATCCCCAGGCTTGTCACAGCCAAAGACAGCAGCTTTGTGGAAAAGGGACAGGAGTTCCTGGGGGAAAGCAAGCTAAACACAAATCCACAGTGAGCCCTGTCAGAGGCAAAGGCTAACAGCATGCTGCACTGTATCAGCAGGAGTGTCACCAGTAGATTAAGGGAAGAGGTTATTCCCCTTTTGTTGGGGGTGAGGGAAATGGGTTTGTCCATGCTGGAGAAGAGGCTTGGGGGTCCTAATAAGAATCTTCTAATACCAGTTAGAAAGCTGTCAAGGAAACAGAAACATATCCTTTGAGAGGGTCACAGTGGTGTGAGAAGGCACAAATCAAACTAGGAAATTTGTACTTGGCATAAGAAAAGAAACTTGTTACCGTGGTGTCATGACCCATTTGAATCTTTCAAATTTACAGGTCTATGTACTCTATAAATTGAACTTCATCTTATGAGCTCATTAGGAAAGAAAACAAACATGACAAACAGGGATTCAATTCACTTTGTACAGACTACTCTAACGTAAATTCGCTAATTAATCACTTAAGTCATGAGGTTTCTAACTCACAGGCTTTCTAATCCATAACTCACAACTCATAAGTTGTAACTCATGCACCTATGAGCAGAACAGTTACCTAGATGATGGGGAGAGTGCTCATCCTTCCTCCTCTGCCACAGCACAGGTGTCCCCATGAGGACAGTCAATCACTGCAGCATGTTATCCAGAGGGGCTGCAAAAAATCTGTTCATACAGATTTCCAGCACTTTATTGGATCAATCCCTGAGCAGTGTAGTCTGAATTCAGTGTTGATCCAGCTTTGAGCAAAATGAAGTACAGACTTCCTAAATAATCCCTTTCCCTTGGCTGATTCTATGGTAACAAACCAGAAGATGTGCAGGGCAGAGAAAGGACTGGAAGAGGTGGGTCAGAAAGGGTCCTGCTGCAAAAGGAAGGGTGTTCATTTCCTGAGTGCAAATGAAACATGGGTTCCTCAGTGTGTGCCTCAATAGGATCAGCAAGCATTTATGTACTGCACAGGGCAGGTTCCAGTTAAGCACAGCAAGGTGCTAGTAGTCATCAGGTACTGCATGACCTCAAATCTAAGAGTGTGAATTGAATCAAACCATGTGGCCAAGTAATAATCTTGATTCACTCACTTGCAAGTTTCATTTGACTTTTTTTTTGCTGCTCCCCACCAATTCAGTCAGTGGATAGAAGATACTTCATCCTGTGGGAAATGGGATATTGATGTAAAATGTTTTAAGCTGAAGCCCAGACTAAATTTCAGAAATACTGGAAGGAAGTAGTAAATGTGGTAGAACATGAAAGAAGAGAAATTACGATGTCCTGTGTAGACAGAATTGTATTCCCTTTCTGTCTGTGAGAGCTGTCTGAAAAGTCATGTTTATTTTTGCCAGAATGTTGATTTTTTTTCTTTCTTTAAACCTGGAG